AGGGCAGACCTCACTGCAGCTTCTCAGTACTCGAGAGTGGCTTGTAAGAAAGGTGGGGACAAACCTTTTAGCAGGGCCTGTTGAGACAGGACAAGGAGTAGTGGTTTCAAACTGAAGGACAGTTGATTTAGGCTACCTATGAGGAAGAAGTTTTTTACAAAGAGGGTGGTCAGACACCAGCTCAGCTTGCCCAGAGAGGTGAGCAATGTCCCAGCCCCAGGAAACACTCAAGGTCAGCTTGGACTGAGCTCTGAATAACCTGATCCAGTTGATGATGTCCTCACTTATTGGAGTAGATAGGCTTTAAGAGATTCCTTCCAACCCAGACCATTTTGTGTCTCTGTTTCTCCCCTGTGTAATATCAAGCAACTCCTTTACTGTAATCCTCATATCCCCCCAAGGGCAGAAGGGGCAGCTGTGGCCCTCAGATGGGATAGATAAAAAGCAGGATCACAAGGAGCAGATCTCACAGAGACCCCCAGCAGCGGACACATCCCCAGTGCTGGGAGCTTTCCAGTGCAGGGAAGCAGGAGCTGAGCCCGCTCCTCTCCCATCCCTGTGTGCACTCAGCGATGCCGAGAGGCGCTGATGGCTCCTGCCCTCGCTGCTGTCAGCTTGCCTCCCTCTAGCGCTCATCCCAGCATCCTGCACGGCCCGCTTCAGGGATTAGTCCTTTTCCTTGGGTCTCATCCTGGCCGGTTTGTGTCAGGTTAACTTGGAGGTATTTGGTGCTGGCTGGGCTGAGTGGGAATAGCAGGAGGTGCCTATGGTTTCTATCCCTGTGGTGGGGCCTTAGACAACATAATCTAGTGAGTGGGGTCTCTGCATGGAGTGCAGGGTTTGGAACATGATGATCTTTAGAGTCCCTTCCAACCCAAGCCCTTCCATAAATCTATGGACAAGTCCTCATATGCAAAGTCAGGGGGAGGGGGGGGCAATTTATTCTGGGTACAACCAGCCTGAAAAATTGGAAGGTGTGGGGGAAGAATAATAATCTGCTTTTCCTTTATCCTCTTCAGCTTAAATGTAATAGCAAAGGGGAAAAGGTTCTTTCAGCTCTTTGTCCGTCCCATCTTCTCTCAGCCTCCAGCTGTATGTGAACTTAGAAACAGGATTGAGTAGGAAAAAAATAATTTTTAAAAAAGCAGTGTGTCACCTGAAGCTTGCTCAACACCCTCTGTTATTTAAGTGCTTTCTTGGCCAGGCTCTAAGTGGGAGTGGGAAGCAGGGAGGGCAGCCTGACAGGAGCCAGGCAGAGAAAAGCTGATGGTCTTGGTGCATGGTTGGAGGGATGAGCTTACCTCCCTGCTGGCTCCTACCCAAGTTTCTCCATCCATGGTTCTGTGCACAATCCACCATCCTGGTTTTGGTGGCGAAATGAGTATTTAATCCTTCTGGCTCAGCTACAAAGCTTTTGGCTCACCAAATTTTTTTTATCTGCTGTGCTAGGATCTGGAAGAGCAGATCCTTCACTCTTTGTAAAGCAGTCACAGAGTAGAGGCATCTGAGAGGAGACTTAGAAGGGCAGTAATGGTGCGAAATTATATTATCAATAGGGATAATTATGACAAAGCTGCCCTGGTGCTAGGACAGAATGGGGAGTAGGTCTTGTGATGCTGCCCATGTCCTGGTGGGAGGAGCAGGCAGGGCAGGGTCCTTCTGCCACCAGCCTGATGAGCAAGGCCAGCAGAGAGCTGCAGGTCAGGTTTGCATGGAGTCTGAAGAAGAGAGGAAGTGACTTTCCTTTGCCAAGAATCCCCACTCCTGATTTCCCTGTATTTCTCTGTCTGTTCACTGAGACAGTTTTTCTCCTGTCCCACAGGAAATCTGCAATGATCCGCATCTCTTTGTGGATGGGATCAGCTCCCATGACTTGCACCAGGGCCAGGTTGGGAACTGCTGGTTCGTGGCTGCCTGCTCCTCCCTGGCATCCCGGGAGTCTCTGTGGCAGAAGGTGAGTGATTCCCCATGCCAGGGGAGAGCCTGTCACCACCTTGGCTTCGCATTGTGTTTGTCCAGGTCAAAAACTGGTTCTCAGAGATGCCTCATGTCCTGAAAAGCTGATAATGTGCAAAAATCTCTCTTAAAAGACTGTCTTGCAAAGGACATTGGTCATCATGACTGCAGTCACCACACTCCAAACAAAGCCTTGGCCAGTCTCTCCTTAACTAAGTGGATCAAATCCCATTCTGTTTTTCAGATCCCAAATTTGACCCTTTGAATACCAAAATAATCCAAAAATTAACAAGAACAAAATTCAGGATGCTCCGCTGCAGCATTAGGCCCTGTTTCCCTTGTTCCCATGGTGTCCCCTCTCTTTGGCTGTTTACTGTGTCCCACCTTGGCAGTGAGACACCTCATGCTGGGGCAGGAAGGTTGATTTCAGGCTGTTAGCGTCTCTCCCAAGTCACTGCTTGCCAAAGCACCCATCCCTGGCCTGTCCCATGGCTGCATGTCACCATGAGGCAGTGTTCCTTCAAGTGTGGGGTGCAAGGGGAATGTCCTGTGTGCCAGAAAGCCACCAAGGAGCTGCAGCAGGGCAAGGGGCTGCAGGCCTGGGGAGCAAGTAGAGAGGTACAGGGGGAGGGAGGTGCTCAGTGCCACATCCTTGGACAGTCTGTGCCCATCTCCTCCATGGCCTCAGCTGTGCGAGATGTCAGCCCTGTGAAAGCCAAGGCAGGGGGACTTCAGCCTCTGGTGCAGGTGTGTGTCATCACAGGGCAAGAGACCAGCAAGTTGCAAGCAGCTTTTCCCAGATTTTACTGTAAAAGGCAGCCAGTGTGTGCAGGCGGCACCACCTCCTTCACCCACAGCTCCTACAGCCTTCCTCCACCCCACACCTTTACATCTGCCCTGGGTATTGTGGTTCTTCCAGTTTCTGCTTCCTGTGGTGAGCATGAACACCAGGCTCAGGGATTTCTTGCAGCATCCCCATTTTTTGTTAAAATCGAGGGTTTTATTTATATGTGAGCAGGATGGCTGTTGTTGCTTTCTAGATAAGCAGTATGACTTCCTGCCATGGTGGCTGTGGTGTCTGCTGTGGCTCTCATCACAAGGGTGATGCACAGGGTTGTTTAGCTTGTTCTTCACCATCAACACCCCCAAGGGTGAGTGGCAAGTTGTCATCCTTCCTCACCATTCACTTCCAGCTCTGCCCTGGAAAAGCCAACCAAACAGAGGCTGGGTCCCTTTGGACACTTCATTATTTCAGTTTGCCGGGCCCTGCTTTTCCTCCCTTGGCAATTTGGCTGTGGGTGTTTGTGACTTCTCATTTTCCATTACTTTAACTCTCAGGCTGTTTTTTAACTCTCAGGCTGTTTTTACCTGCCTTCTCTTTTCTTTCAGAAAGGTTTGATTTATAGAATTATAAAGGTTGGAAGAGACCCTAATGATCATTTAATTCCAGCTCCCCTGCCTCTGGCAGGGACACTTTTCACTAGACCAGGTTGCTCAAAGCCCCATCCAACCTGACCTTGAACACTTCCAGGGATGAGGCATCCACAAATTCTGTGAGCCACTTGTGTCAGTGTCTCACCATGCTCACAGTAAATGATTTCTTATTTGCTGAAGATCTCAGAGACAGAAATAATGGGCCCCTTAGTCCTAAATGTGATTACACATGCAATGTTATCACATGTTGTGATAACATTGCTGGACACCAAAATGTCTCTATTTGGGGTCTGGCAAGAGCTGAGAGATGCTGATGCAGGCTTTAGTATCTCTGAAATGTCAGCCCAGGAATTTTGGCCCAGATCACGCATGGCTACTAGAAAATGTGTTCCTGGTGTACACCAGGATGTAACATGGGCTCTGCATGTCCCTTGCTCCATTCCACTCAGTGAAACTATCTCTCTTAGGTATGGAGAGGGGTAATACCTTCAAGAAAATAAGGCAGGCCAGCACATCCCTGTGGATCCTAGGGGATTATTTTATTCAAATGTTTTCTCCCACCTTGCTTTCTCCATGCCCCTGCTTCCCATTATGCCTTCATGGTGTGAATCACTGAGTGGGAATGGAATTTAGGTGCTGGAATTTAGTTGAGAGCTGTTTTCTAACTTTCTGAGTCTTGGATGATCCTACATGGCTCTAGGTGTGATCTGGCTCTGTAACACCCTTTCTATGACCCTTCAGATGTGTCTAGCTTTTATGAAAAGAAATGGAGACATTAAAATGAGGGGCAAAACCATGCCAGTATGCTGGTGCTGATTTGCTGACGCAGGAGCAGTGTGGTGTCTGGTTCCTGCCAGCTGTGCCATGTAGAAAAGGGCATGATGGTCATGTTAGTTTGGGGTTCATTGACTTATAGTCAATTTGTCCCTTGGGACCCTCGTGTCTTTTTCTGGATGGCACAGCCTGATGGAGGCCACCAAAATGGTCAGGAGGAAAGTGGGTTTGTACATCCAGGAGGAGAGAAGGTAAAAGGGTAGCTTATTGCTGTGTGTAGCTACTTGATTCTAGAATCACAGAATGGTTTGCCTTGGAAGGAACCTTTAAAGGTCATCTAGCTCCATCCCTCCTGCTGTGGGCAGAAACACCTTACACTGGACCTTGTTGCTCAGAGCTTCATCCTGCCTGGATAGGGGAGTGTGGACAAGATGGAGCCAGGATCTTGTGGGGATGCACAGCCAGAGGACAAAGGACAGCAGCACAAGCTGCAGCTTATCTACTGCATGAGCTCAGTCAGACCCTGGAAGGAGGCCCACAGAGGCTGTGGGACCTCTCTCCATGGAGATACTCAAAGATGGACTGGATGAAGCTCGGAGAAACACGACTGATTTAACTCTGAAGTCCTGCTTTGAGCAGTAACTTGGACCAGACTCCTCCAGAGTCTCATTCCAGCCTGAGTTAGCCCTGAACCTACACTCAGAGAAAACCACTACCACTCATCCCTCCCAAGGTGGCATCCCTGGCTTTGTTTTGGGCTAATGAGCCGTGGTTGTCAGGGAGGTTACTGGGGAGGCTGACATGAGACATCCCTTCCCTGTAGATTATCGTGCACAGCAGCACCAACAGCTCTGGATCTGCAGATGAGTCGGGAGGCGCTCAGGGGAAGCCCCAGGGGTGTTTTGCGTCACTGGGCCAGGTTGCCTAGCACTGCTGCGACTGTGGAGAAGGGACACCAGCTCCAGGGCCCCGTCTGATCCTTCCCCGTGCGTGTCCTGTTTGAGAGCCACACGCTGCTGAGGACGGAGCAGAGGAGCAGCCAGGGTGATGGCGGCTAGGGCAGAGACGCTGGAGCTGCCCTTCACCTGCGACGAGCAGCTGACGCGGCGCATGCGGCTGCGGTTCCAGAGCCTGCAGCAAAGGAACATGAGGGCCCAGGACGGGGAGAGGCTGCTGCACCCCAATGAGCACATCTTCCGAGTGGATTTCATCCAGCAGCACCAGCTGCGCTTCCTCCGCTGGGACATGCAGCTGGAGAGACCCGGCAAGGTCACGGTGACGGGCACCTCCCAGCTCTGGACTCCTGACCTCACCCACCTGATGAACCGGCAGCTGCTGGAGCCAGTGGGAATCTTCTGGAAGAAGCCGGGGACCGAGGAGGTGGAGTGCAATGAGGCAGATGCCCAGGAGTTTGGGGAGAGGATAGCAGAGCTAGCCCAGATCCGCAAGGTTATGTATTTTCTCCTCACTTTCACTGGTGGCCTTGAACCAGCTCAGCTGAAAGGCTCCATTGTTTTTAAAGCCTGATCCCCTCTTGCTCAGCTTTTCTCCTTCCAGCTTTGTTTCTTTCAGTTCAGTTCTTTGTTCCATTTTTGCATCTGTTTTTTTTTATTTTTTTCTTTTTAATGAAAGCCAGCACTGTGGTAAAGCAGAGAACAGCTCAGTGCTCCTGGATCCCCTCAGCCCTGTGAAATATTCCCCAAATGTGCTGCCCTCTGTCTAAATGATGGGGAGAAGGGGACCATGAGCTTGCTGCTGCATTTGCCTGGAGTATAAGACTATGTGCTTGTGAATTCATCAGGGATTCATACAGGATCTTACTGGCTTGGAAATACAAGGCTGCCCTAAATCCTCTCACTGTAGCAACTGCACACCAAAAACCCACTGGAAAAATGAGTAATTGCCATACCAGAAACCATCAGGGACCCCTGGAGAGAGCCCTGCTTTCCAGTTTCCATCCTAGCCATTGTTTGTGATGGAGTTCCTCTCCTTGCAAGGTGCTGAGTGCTTACAGGCTCTGATGACTTGTGCTGCTGCTGTGGCTGCTTGGAGTCTCTGAAGACCACTCCCATGGAGAATCCACCTTGCTGTGAAGCTGAAGTACATACACCTGGACTCACTCAATGTGTTCTGCAGATTGTAAACCCACTGGACTAATGGGGAGGTTGGACCAACCTTTTCTGACCACTGCCATCATTTCTTGCAGGGGGAGGGTGGAATTTGTTGGTCCAAGATGGATGGAGCAGATGTGTGTGTGTGGGGGCTGAGCCAGCAGCTCAGAGCGGCCTAGGCCAGCAATGAGTCCTCTGCAGCAGAGCTAATTTGTGCTTTGTTCTGTCCTTAAAGCATCCATGAAAATATTTACTCTGAAGTGTCTACAGAGAGCCGTGAGGCTGCAGAGCACTTTGCAAGCCACAGAGCAGGAACCTGCTGCTTCTGTCCCTGAAAACACAGGGAAGGGTGACCAGGGGAGCAGAGGGGAGTGATACATTTATAAGTATTGGAACAAGAGAGTGTTTTTGCCCAGTTTGCCCATGACTGCAAGTAAACTACTAAGTTTGGATGTTTCCTTTTCTTCCACCAAAAAATGGAGAGTACTTCAATGAGGCTTCTTGAGACACACAGATTTAAAAGTCCCTTGAAAGAACTAAGTTATCACAGTTGGTCCTCTGCTCAGATTGCACTCCAGCATGTGTGAGTACTCCTCAAGGGGTGACCTGACATCCTCCAAAAATGAGTAAGGAGAGAGCAGTGGTGGGAAAGCCAGGGCAAGGTGACTTTGTACCTGTGGCCTGCAGACTTATGCAGACCAGCCCCAAAAAGAGTCCAACCTCTTCTCCAAACCTCATGAGATGCAGACGCCTTCCCCAGCCCAACAACTGTGTATAAAATGGCATGCACAAGTTATGCCAGGCAGAGAGGAGAAAGACAGCAGATCAGCTGCTGGCTGGAGAGATGATGGGAGCTCTGAGTCTTGCCCAAAACCAAGGCCCAGCAACCACCAAATCCTACAGCCATGCCATGGCCATTGCCAGACAAGTTGATATCTTTGTTTAGACCCCAAGAAATGCTGGGCTCGGTGAGTAAAGTGGATGCATCCCTGCTTGGCCAAACACCCTCTAGGGTCCTAGCAGACTTTGCCATAGAAAACCTCTCCTTGTTCATCCCAGAGCAAAGTTCCTGACTACAAACCACTGTAGACCAAATAACAGGAGCCACTGGCAACGCCCAAAGGGGGTATTGCATGCTAAGTCTCACAATATGCCATTGCTACGTTGCTAGGGTAGAGTTCTTGGTGCAGATATTTCACTGGGTATTGGTGTACCACAGTAAATAAAAGCCTGGACAATGGGTTCCCCTTAAGGACTGAGGCTGTTTGTGTCTTCTTCATGCTCCTTTTGGCAGCTGCCCTAATCCTGCACACAATAAAGCACCAAATTTCAGCTCAATATTAGTATTCTTGAGCCCCTTTTAACTTCCTGTAAGATGTAAGATGAACATTTACTTTCTTCTCTGAAAGGCTTCATGGAGTATTGAGCAGATATTTTGTGGTCAAGAGGGAGTTGAAGCTGGGCATAGAAGGGGAAATGATTCTCAGGTGGATCCTTGTTTCCTTCAGAACTGGGGAGAGAGGGAGGGGACCAGTGTGATCTCTCTCTGCTGCAGGGAAGATGAGCCTCTTTTTACCCGTCACTGAAACTATCCCTACACAGTTTCAGCATCCCATAAAGACTTTGAGATACATCACCCTGTCCCATCTCCCAGGGCAATTTCATCCCAGTTTGTACCACAGCCCAGCAGAGTGGTATAGCTGGGTGCCTCTCTCCTTATTCTGAATTGGCAAGTTCCCAGCACAAAGCGTGGAGAACTTGGCATGTACCAATTTCTCCTTCTAGTCAGGGAGGTTTTTTTCCAGGGTCACAGATTCCCTTTCTTTTAATTAGCCACTCTTACCTTTCTTAAGAAAATTGAAAAAAGCCCTAAATCAGCTTGGGGAGGTGAACCTGGCATTTTTGAACCCTTCACTGAAACCCATCCTGAACCCTTTCACTCTAAATTTGTTGCATTAAATGGTGTTGCAGCTCCAGAATTTGTGAACCCCTAAGGAAAAGGCAGCACAGCTGGGTGAAGGAGAAGAATATGGTTTGCACTACCCCAGTGTAGCACAACCAAGCTGAGTGCAGGACTTCTTGGGATCCTGGGATGGGTGGTCCATGGCCACACTCTCCAACAGGGAACACCTGTGGAGATCAGACTCCTCTCATTTCCTCCTGGGTCAGTGTAGAAATACAACCAGTCCTTGCTCCTGGACCCTGCTCTGGATGAAAGCTGACCATTTTTGCTGCCTTCAGTGGTGGAGGGTGCTCCCAGAGCTGTTCCCAAGGGAAGAAATGAGTGGGATGGTGGGGACCTGTGTGTCCTGCCACCAGTGACAGTAGGAGCAAGCCTCAGACCCAGCCAGCTGGAAGCTGTCACTCCCAGCTCTGGCACACAAGCTGCCTCTGATCAATGCTGGGATCATTTCTAAGCCCACATTAATAGTGAGTTGATTATCACAACTACTCCCTATGACAATTCATTAGGATGAGCTCCAGTCAGGAGGGAATCCGTGGGCGCTGATGGAGGGCTGGCTGACCTCTCCTGGCAGTCTCCAGAGAGGACTCTGGGACACAGTTGTTAGCACTCCTATAAAGCACCAAACCCTCCAAATGTGGCTCTGTTTCATGGCTTTGTCTGCTCTGCTTCTATTGATCCATATGACTAAAGAGTGGCTGTGAGCTTGCAGGGCTGATGGCATCATTAATATTTCAGTGTGGGAGCAATAAGAGCCCTGGACTAGATCATTGCTGATAGCTAAGGAATCAGGGGGCTCTTCAGAGGGAATTCTCTGCACAATTCCTGCTTTGTGACAGCAGACAAAAAAAACCAGAAAAAAGACCCCAACCAAACAAAAACCAACCAAACAACAACAAAAACAAAGCAGCTCTGTCAGCTGGACAAGGGTAGACAGTAAAGGTGGTTTCACCTCTTTTGTGACTTCTTGTGAGGCTCTTTTCATGCAATGTAGCTGTGTCCTCTCCTATCCCATCCCCTCAGCTCTCCACAGAAAAGGGATTATTTGGTGTATTGGAACACAATAACATAATGCATGCTTGCATGGACACTTTGGGATTTTTTATCACTGAGCTCGTGTTCCTTTGGCAGCAGGTAAGTGGAGTAGCAGGGGTGTGGACAGTCAGTCAGCTCACTGCTGCTGTGTAAGTCAGTCCTTGTCAGCCATCAGCTGCAGTAACCACAGTGGCCTCACAGCCCGCCCTGGCCATGCAGTAAAACCACACTGCCTCCAGCCTCAGCAAAAGCTAAACTGTGGTGTGGTGTTGCCTTGCCTTGTGCCTCTGTATCCTGGTTCCAAACTAGATGCAGATCCCCCTGCATGTACCCTCTGTGCCTGGCTGTTGGGTGTGTTCTGTCCCAGCTGTTGGGTGAATTTTCCATCCAAAGCAGAGCTGGTGGTGCCTGCAGCCGTGACGGGCTGCGGACTTTGGCAGTTCCCCTTTGCTTGTGCCTGTCCTGCTGGCAGTGACACCAAATCTGTGCCTCCTCTGACCCTTCTAGGGCTTCTTTCAACTCAGGCCTTCTTTTCTATTTTTCATCAAATCACCTCCCTGTGCTTGCCTGGGTGAATTTGGTAGGTCTTGACAGGAAAGAATGGAGACCTTGAGGGAATGGGGATCCTGCTTTTCCCACTTTTACTTAACTGAGTAGGCTCATGCAGAGTATCTGCTGCATGTGTCTTTGTTGGCACTAGGTAGATGAATACTACACTTGTTCTTGGGCCAGTCAAGTCACACCAGAATCAAGCAGGAGAATCAAAGAAGGTGCCCTTTGTTAGTGGTACCCTACTGACACTAAAAAAACCAAAAGACATGGTTATTTTTATGACATCCCTGGTTAGGCAAAGAACTCATCTGCTCCAGTAGCCTGTCTACAGAAATAGATGGCAGCAGATTCCCGGATAGGGTTATAAGAAAGAGGACAAAGGTCTTTAACTCCACCTTCCAAGGGACAGTGAAGTCTAAGCTATTCCAGTACATGTTAATATAGTCTGCATTGGCAGAACCAGGTCCAAAATCTGGCCCCAGCAGACTGTAAGCAAGTCCATCCCCCTCATATTCTTCCTTGTCTTTGATATTGTCTGCATTAGTGCCAGGATGAGAGTCAATCCCAGCAAAAAAAAGGAATAATTTGAGTATGTGTGCCTCTTCTTTTGCAGGTCATCCCAGACTGGAAGGAGCAGGAGTGGAACCCTGAGAAGCCCGAGAGCTACGTGGGGATCTTCCACTTCCAGTTCTGGCGTTTTGGTCAGTGGCTGGATGTGGTGATCGATGACCGCCTGCCCACACTCCACAATCAGCTCATCTACTGCCACTCCAACTCCAGGAATGAGTTCTGGTGTGCCTTGGTGGAGAAAGCTTATGCCAAGTAGGTACCCAGGCAGCTGTAGGATAAAGTGGGACCTGTGCACTCTGATTTTCCTCTCTGTTCATTCACCAGCTAGTTTGCAGCAGTGGAAACAACATCTTTGCTGTGGAGAAGTAGTACATGACTCAAACAGACAAAACCCCTTCTCTAGCCCTAATTTACCCTCAAAGCAAAACACCCTTCAATGTTTCTTTAAGTAACACCTATTCTAGAGATTTGAAGTTCCTTTTACATTGGTCCTATGACAGCAAGAGTGCAGCAAGGAATGTGGGTCCTATTTTTTCACCCTAGTTTTCTGTCCTCTCCTGCTTGAAGTTCAACTGCAAATCTCCATTCCTGAGGTTGCCCCAAGAATTGTCGCTGACCCCTTAAAATGTCAGGCCAGTGTTGTGCCATCCCTGCCACCCTCTTTCAGGTTGTCAGGCTGTTACGAGGCGCTGGATGGAGGCAACACAGCTGATGCCCTGGTGGATTTCACTGGTGGGGTCTCTGAGCCTGTCGACCTGACCGAAGGGGACTACATCGCTGATGAAGCCAAGCGCAACCTCCTCTTTGAGCGCGTGTTGAAGGTGCACAACAGGGGAGGCCTCATCAGCTGCTCCATCAAAGTAAGCAACATTGCCAGTATGGCCACAGTGCTGTGGGAATAGGTGTTTTAGGATGCAGTTATTTTACACAGTTAGAAACTTCTAAATTAGATCAGATAAATTGTGGCCAAGGGTTCCCACTTCTGGGAGCTGGCAAAAGGAGCAAATCCTGAATGTCAACCCCCTTTATTTTTTGTTGCTATGTCCAAGAGCCACATTCATCCCAGCACTCTTTAAAGGCTAGGAGGGGATCCACTCCAGAGAAAGGCATTTTGGTGTCTGCATCTGGGCATCTTTACAAATGCTGGTTTCCAAACCTCCCAGTATAACCAGTATATGAGCTTTATCAGTTGCCAGTGTGGGAGCTCAGAGACCTCATGACGCAAATGAAGAAAAGGGGGGATG